CTCTCTCTCTCTCTCTCTCTCTCTCTCTCTCTCTCTCTCTCTCTCTCTCATGTGTCTCTGTCTGCATGATATCTTACAGTGTGCTCAGACACAAGATGAGGTATCCTAGTGTACAACTCTCAGCCTTATCCCTTTGAGACAGAGTCTCTCATTGATCCTGGATCTTCCTGCTTGGCTAGTGGCCAGCAAACATCAAGTATCTCTGTTTCTGCCCCCCACAATGTTGGAGTTATATGTATGTTCAGCTATATCAGGCATTGTACATAAGCGCTGAGACTTGAACTCAGGTTGTCATGCTTATGCAGTGAGTGATCTTACCCACTGACCATCTCTTCAGGCCTCTGAATAGCTGTTAAATTAATTTCTTTGCAGCAGGGGGAGGGGAATGGGATAGGGGGTTCCTGGGTGGGGGCGGGGAAATGGGGTAAGAGGATAACATCTGAAATGTAAATAAAATATCCAATAATTAATTAAAAATTAATTTATTTGCAATGCTGTTTACTTAACATTATGAGAATAGAATTAAAGGTACCAACATTTACTTTAATGTAAGCAAAAATAATTTTCCATTTTAGTTTGCCTGATACACAATTTTGGCATAAGAAATTATTCTGCAATTCTACTTTGAGAAGAAAATAAAATGAAACAAGCTGATTGGAAATAGCTACGTAGGCTTTCATAAACGAATTCCATAGGAGAGAGGACCAGCTAAAAACTAGGAGAGTTATTTGATAAGTCAACTGATTTCTCTTTGTGTCACCCTGTAGCATTTACATGACCCTTAACAAAATGGCACTTCGTGCCAGAAACTCCTCTTAAAATTTGGTCATATTTTATAATTATATGACATGTAAATATGAATTATAAGTATGTCAAGCAAATTATATTGCAGTTTACCAGAACCCTGTCTCATTAAAATCTAGAAAATGAATAAATCTTCTAGAGTGATATTCATAGACAATAAAGAAGACAGGAAAACAAGTGAAGCCAATCACAGTTGGGTATTAATTTACTTTATTCTTATTTTTCCTGCCGCCTATAAACAGAAGTTCAACAAATCATTTTCTTTGTTTAATTCAGACACAGCCTTTAACTCTTCACCCTCACTCTTATTCAGGTCCCTGCTGTATGTCCTTGTATTGCTAGGGACATCGACTGATTACCTGACACAGAGTGCACCACAGATGTCACTTCTGTTCCACAACACAGGCTTCTTTCTGAATTCCAAATATCTTTACTGGGGAAAATTAGTCTATGAAGACCTGCATTTCATATGATGCATTAAAAACCTCCTAATTACACGTAATATTTTAAACCTAATGGTTATTTACATTCTAGAATTTGCTTGCTCGTGTTTTCTAACTTTACTTCCTCAGGCTAAACTATCAGCTCTTAGGGAAGTAGTTTAATTTATTTTCTTCTGTGAATAATTAATGAGGTCATATACAAAAAGATTTCATCGTAGCATTATAAATAGGCAAGAACATGAAAACCTACATATTGGATATTTAAGTTAGGTTAACAATAACAATGTTGTGCTATATTATTTTACACATTTATCTCAAGGCATTTATTTCCTTAAAGATGCTCCATGAGATGAAAGCAGTTACTGTGTTTCCTCATAGATGAGAAAACAGGCACAGAAACGTCCCAAACATCTCTAAATTGAAAACATAGCTAACATTTGATATGTACATTTGGTTTGGAATATCTGTAGAATCCAGGAATCTAGAATCATTGGTTTGGGGGAAGAGAGAGTGACTTTAAAAAAGGGGGAGCAAACACATGTTCTTAACCACCACTC